GAATGGTCATCTTGATGTGATGATGCTTTAGACTGGAACGGTGCGTGCCCTTCTCCCATTGCTGCTTGCATGGCACTTTCCACTGTCTTTTGTGCAGTGGCGCCGATCGAATGCGTTGTATCCTTGACGGTATCGTAGGCCGTATCGAATAGATCTGCTGGATGTTCTCCGCCGGATGCCTTCTTGAATGCGTCGTCATCTTCAGACTTGATTTTCTCGTAGCCAGTTTCCAGCATTCCACCAACCGCGTGAGCACCACCCTTCACTGCATCTGATGATTTTTCGTAAAGAGAATGCGCTACGTTCTCAACTCCCTCCATTCGATCTCCGAAAACATTTTTGCTTGCGTCGTACTGAGTTTGTACGGCATCCGTTAGACGGTCGTATTCGTCCTCAACTCGTCGTTCCACTGCTCCAATCATATCACCACCCTTCTCTTCCAGCTTATGTCCAACCTCATAAGCCTTATCAGTCACATCATGGCGTTTATCATCCACCACATGCACTGCCTCTTTACCAGCCTCATAAACCTTATCAGCACCTTCCTTGAGCAATTCAGCCGCCTCATCTGCCTTCTGCTTCACCCCTCCAGCAAATCCACTCAGCTCCCCCACTCCTTTCTCAATCAATCCCTCGGCCTTTGTGGGAGCCTTACCGAAAGCATCGTAGAAGTCATGTTTCGTGTCCTCAGCACCCTTTGCAATGTCACCGTATAAATGAGCCGTTTGATCAGTGACTGTATTAAAAGCGTTATTTGATGCAGTTTTGATGGAGTCATAAGCGGCGCTTGTTTTATCATCAAGCAACTGAACAGTGTCACCGAGTAAATTAGTTGACTGCTCAGTAGTGGCATCAGCAGAAGGGCGAGAAGAAGCGGCGAGCCAAGAACTCGTATCTGACGATATACCTTCTGCCTGTTGCAGTGTGTCGTGCACACCTGTTGAAACCTTCTCGGCAACACTCTTCGCACTATCTGCGACCGTACCAAAAACATTTTGGGCGGCCGCAAATCCTTTCTCTTCGGCCTTCTTGGTTGCTTCTGCGATCGAGTCAAATGCTGATCGTGTGGCATCACCGCCAGCTGTCACCATATCACTCACTTTATCGTAGCCTATAAATCAATATCTTAATTGCTAGATAACATCACTAACACCATTAAGATATCATCTGCACAAAATAACAAAAATAATAGCGCGCATAAATAATCGAATAGAACCAACCCGAAGCCGCAGTATCGGAGACCTTCTCAAAGGCGCTCTCGGCCAAATCGCTAGCTTTTGGAAGAATATGATGCTGATCCATATCAGACGACAATGAAGAAGTCTAAAATTGAGTTTCGTTTAGTAAAAATTTCCATTTGAAACTAATCTTAACGATGTGAGTCTTTTAAGAAAAAACAACAACAGAAAACAAAACGTTTAACACGAGTTCTGCTTTAATTTCGAATGGTATTACTTTTAAGTCCATCAAACTCGATGAAATATGTCAGTATCAATAAGATGAAATCGCAAACAAACAAAAAATGAATATATTTTCTNCATTCAGACAAGAAAACATCGCGAAAATTCATAAAAGAAGTATTGCACCATTCCAACACTCACTCAAAAGGAACACTTTTTTGCTCACAAAACAGCGTCAACTTTCAAAGGTTTACATAAACATGTTGGAAAATTATTGAGGAAATTAAAATGAGGTAATAATTTTTCTTTTAGTTGGCTGACTGAATAAACGTGAAATGTGGGAATTTCGTCATTGGAAAATAGAATTGAAGAGAACAATTTGAAAAGACGAATGAAAATTGGCTGAGGAGATGGATGAGAGGAGGATAGCACTAGGATTGGTTGGTGGTACATCATAAAATCAATATCGGCCAAAACGAATAATTGAAAGAAATTGGAAACGAAATAAGAAATGAAAATACAGTGAAATTCACATAAATTCAACAAAAAACAACCATACACATCAACAGTGCACGCAAACGAACAACAATCGGAATATTCAAATTTGATTTATGTTAAATGAATAAATTCTTTCAGAGAAACCAGTTTTTATCGTGAACAATAATACCACAACAATCAACGTCAA